GGGGTGGGGGTGGGGCAACCGGGAGAGGCCAGCGGCCAGTGCTTCTCTGTTAGAGGAGTCCCGGAGGTCAGCTCCTCGTCACCCCGCTTGTGAGCCAGGTGACTCTGGGCACGTTCTTACCCCCGAAACCTTGGTTTCTTGTTCTGAGAGGCGGGGTACCTTCTCCTGGAGGGGTGGTCGTGCTGCCAGAAGGCGGCCGCCCTTCATAGCGTCTCTTCCGGTCCACTCCGTGGTCTGCCGGGATCTCGTCTTTGCTGGCAGGTTCCCTGCTTTAGGCCCCCTCGGGCCTTGGCTTGCTGCCTGGGGGCTGGGTCTTGACGAATCTCAGCGACTGAGCTGTCACAGGTGTTGCTGTTAAGGTCTGTTCGCAGACACACACGTGCATTCCCTGGTGGTGCCCACGTCCTTGAAGGAGTCCTGCAGCTTGGTGGGCGGAGGGCTTCCTGAGCTGGCAGTGGACTGATCCGATTTGTGGCCTCCACTGTCGCTTACTGGCTTCTCGTGGGAGTCTTCTCCGTCTTTCAGCCTCCCTCAGTTGGTCCAGGAGCGCAGTGGGGGTGACGATGCGGTAATCCCTTTGCACTTCCCCGCCCCCCTCCCCCGGGGCGACTGGGAGATTGGGAATAGTGGAGATCCCCCACCCCCACCCCAGTCCTGCCTCCAGCGGCAGGCCCGCAGCAGGAACCACACAGTTGGCACTTACTACGAGCCGACGTGTGGTTTTCATTGTTCATGTGTGTTCTATTTTTAATCTTCTCGGCAACCCTGAGGTTGCCCGTGGGGAAGTACTGTGTATCCTGCTTTAACTGTGGGGAAACTGATGCTAAGGGGTTAAGTATTTGTCCACAGTCACTGGCTCGGGGTTGGTGGAGTCAGGAGTTAACCCAGGTCAGATCGCAGAGCTCAGGGCCGTGAGCGGCGCCTCAGTGCTGCCCTCTGCTGGACAGCCTGCAGAAATTAGGGGGTGGAGTAGGAGGGTCTGGGCTTGAGGTCCTGCAGGGCCTGGGGACAGAGGACAGAAGTCCCACTGAGTACCTGGAGAGGCAGGCCCCTCCATCCTCCCCGCCCCCAGCTCCAGGAGCAAGACAGGCAGTTGGTGCTTCTTTCCGCAGGAAGTGGAACCCTCTTCACCCGCCTCCCTTGCCGGCCTGCGCCCCTACACAGACTATGTGGTTGGCTCAGACCAGATCCTCCAGGAGGTGAGCAGGATTTGGCTTGCCCTCCCCGGGTCCCTGAAGGCTGTCGCCGCCGGTGTGGAGATGGGTGCTGGCCGCGGGGTGGGCCTCCGATTCCTGTGCCGGGAGCAGGGCTCAGACGCTGGCTTTGTTGTAGTCCGAGGACTTCTTTACACTCATCGAGTCCCACGAGGGGAAGCCCTTGAAGCTGATGGTTTACAACTGCGAGTCGGACTCCTGCCGGGAGGTGACTGTAACTCCCAACGCAGCCTGGGGTGGAGAGGGCAGGTACTTGCTCAGTGGGAGGGCTGCGGGGCGGGACCTGGCCACTGGCCGTGGACCAGAATCGCACAGGGGGGGTGTGGAGGCTGGGCTCTGGGTGCAGAGATGCTGAGGATGAACACGGGGCCGGGAGGCGCCCTTTTCGCTCTTCCACTGCCAGTCGTGGGTGGGGTTGGCGGATCTAGGACCGACTAGGGGACCACCCCTCGGATCGACTGTTTCTGGACTTTGGCAGTCTGGGGTGTGGCATTGGCTACGGGTATCTGCACCGGATCCCAACCCAGCCCTCCAGCCACCACAAGAAGCCACCTGGTGCCCCGCCGCCTGATGCCCCGCCACCTGATGCCCCGCCACGTGGACCCACCCCCCAGGACTCTCCTGCCCCTGTTCGCCCAGAGACCGGCTCCAGGCAGGGTGACTACATGGAGGTGCGTGGGGGGCATCTGCCAGTGGGGGGAACTTCCTGTGCGCAGAGGGGCCTGCCACCTGGGAAAAGAGGACTCTGGCATCGCCGGGGGCCCGTTTGTGGAGCTCTGGGGAGGACCTTTTGCTTCTGGGACCTAGTGGAAGCGGACGGTCCCGTCCTGGGACAGTGAAGCCCACTTGGGTTCTCCTGCCACTTGAGTCTGGAGGTGAGAGTAATGGCAAGGCACTAGTTGTCATTTTCATTTGAAACTGAGGCTCAGAGGTGGGCATAGCCTCGTCCTGTGCCTCGGTGAGTCTGGTAACGTCGGGTCAGAGGCTGGGCTCGCGGAACCCGGGCTGGGCGGGTGTCTGGCCGAGTCCGTAGGAGAGCGCCGGACCTGCCTTCTCGGCTGTTGGAAGAGGCACCTGAGTGCCTCTGGGGCACTGGGCTGGTGCCTGGGGTCTGTACCGGGGGGGCATGCAAGGATCGCTCCCCAGGCACGCTGGAGTTCAGGGAGGGCCTTCTCTTCTGGCGGGTCATGGGAGGACCCGGCCGGGTGGACACCAGGGGCTCCACCTGTCAGCGCTGCGGGAGAGGCCACACCAGGCCCCTCGTGCCCAACCTGGACGGGGAGGGGGCAGGTCATCGAGGCTGTCTGCGCCTTCAAGCGGAGCGCTGATCCCCTGGCAAGCGTGGGCCGGGGGTTAGGGTGGACTGTGTGACCTGAAATGCCCCTGCCCTGTTCCCTCCTCGTCCCTGGCCCCCGCAGGCCCTGCTGCAGGCACCCGGCTCCTCCTTGGAGGAACAGCTTTCTGAGCCTGGGAGTCCCAGCCGTGGTGCTCCAGACCTTGGGGGACTTGCACGTCCCATGGAGACTCCTCTTCAGCCTCCACCTCCAGTCCAGCGAGTCATGGACCCAGGTAGCGAGCGGGCCCCGGACGGCAGGCTCGGGGGCCTGCCACCCCTCGGTGCTGGAGTGGGCGTCAGGTTTAGGGCGAGGCTTTCGCCCAAGTGCCAAAACCTTCCCCGGACCTGTCGTCCTGTGGCATATATGTCCTATGTCGTATATGTGAGGATGGTTGCAGGTGAGCCAGTGCCGCGTGCAGATGGGGGGACGGCAGAAGGGAAGTGGCCTGCTCAAGGTCACGCGGCACTCTGGGGACAGAGCAGGCAGGGTCTGGGCTCCCTGCCACAGTGCTATTCCCCTGAGGCCCAAACGCGGACTCTCTTCTTTGCTCGGCGGGAGGCAGTGGGGACCGCTTGGGGGTTGGGTGGGGGCGCCCCCACGGGCTGAGGACATTGCAGGTTTAGGCCAGGCCAGGTGCCCCGGGGTACTGGTCTTCCGGTGGTCGGGGTTTTGTGCTGGGAAAGACTCGCGCCCCTTCCTCTAGGCTTCCTGGACGTGTCGGGTATCTCCCTGTTGGACAGCAGCAATGCCAGCGTGTGGCCCAGCCTGCCGTCTCCCACGGAGCCGACCCCCACAGCCGTGACAGCCGCAGGGCCCGAGGACGTCTGCTCCAGCAGCGGTTCTCACGAGCGGGCTGGTGAGTGGCCGACGCCCGCGGAAGCTTTCCGGGAAGGACCCTGGGCTGTTGGGAAGGCTGCCCCGAGTTTCTCAGCTGGGAGAGAGGCTGGCTTTGGGGTGAGATAGAGCCTCGTCAAGGCATTTGTACACCGGAGCCCCCCTTCCCCATCACCGCCTGGGCTGGGGGTTGGGGGTCAGAGGAGTGGCTGGCCCCGGGTCCCGCAGGCCTCCTGAGCCCCACCCTGTGTGTTTCAGGTGAGGCCACGTGGTCGGGGTCAGAGTTTGAGGTCTCCTTCCCGGACAGCCCAGGCCCCCAGGCCCAGCCAGACCACCTGCCTCAGCTAACCCTTCCCGACAGCCTCACCTTTACGGCCTCACCGGAAGACGGGCTGTCTGCTGAGCTGCTCGAAGCACAGGCCGAGGAGGAGCCGGCGAGCACAGAGAGCCCGGACTCGGAGGCGGAGGCTGAGGGGGTGGCCGAGCAGGCCCGGCTCTCTACCCCAGAAATAACGCCCTAGGGTGGGACGAGGCCCGGTGGCATTTCACGAGGCCTCGGTGTGGGGCAGCAGCTTGGGCCGTGCCGCGCGGCCCAGCCTCCGGCCCGGTGTGTCCAGCTTCCTAGGCTGCAGCCCCCAGTGACGTGCAGGGACTTTGGCAGGCAAGGGCTCTTGTGTCCGCTCGGACCCTACTGGTCTCGAAGAGATGACGTGTCGGCCTTAATTCTGCCCGACGGTCCTGGCTTTGGGGAATCGGGCACTTGAGAGTCTCAAACGAGTCCATTTGGGGCGGTGGGAGGCTGGGAGTTCTGCAGGAGCTGGGGGGGGAGAGGAAAGGACTCTGCTGCTTGGGTGGGACGAAGCGAGTGGGTAGGAAGGGGAGGCTGTGGGCCTTGGCATCTTTAGGCCACGTACCCTTAAGTGCGGCGCTTCTCCTGCCCTGGTCGCTATGGCTGTCCGGGAGGCCACAGCATCCAGGCGGGGCCAGGGGTGCAGATGGGAGTGAAGGAGGAAGGGACGGGTGTGGAGTGTTCGCCTGGCACTTCACGGGGCTGGCCTCGACTCGGCCCGCACAGCTCAGCTGGCCCTGCGTGTACTAGAAGGCAGCCCCGTGCCTTGGGGACCCCTGGAGCCGCAATCACGGTCTCTTCGGTCGCGTGCCCTCCTCTCCATGCTGCACTGCACAGGCGGTTCAGGCTGACATACGCCAGTCCCAGCTGGAGGAGAGAAGCAGTGAACGTGTCCACCTCTCCTGGGAGAGGAGGGGTGGAGACTCTAGGCCCTGCAGCAGAGACTCCCTTGATCTTGGATCATGACGTTTCTTCTTCCCCAGGGCCGACGCCCCTCAGACCCAGTGGTGCCTCCTGTCAGCTCCCAAACTTCTACAACCATCTCTTTTAAATACACAAGGCTTTGTCAGCCCCAGCGGTGAATAAAAATGCCAAATTTAAGGTCACCATCCTAAGCAGACTCTTTCAAAGCGGGTCCTGACCGGACCTCTTTAGACACTGCTCCCGCTCCACGGGGGAAGGGGGGGGGGGCTGGACGAGAGTGGGTAAGGGCCGCTCCGTTCTTCCCCACAGTTCGGGAGGAGGCGGCTCCCTCCACCTCCAGGTGCCCTGAGAGGCTAACACGAGGCCAGGTTTTCTGCTCTACTTGGCTCCTGCAGGCAGGGGAGGGCTCCATCCAGGAAGGGCCCCTCCCCTCCACGGAAGTGCTTCCTGACTTGGCTTCAGTCCCTCCCCTTCCTACTTGCTGATTGCCACTTGGGCTGCCTCTGGCCTTGTCTTCTAGCTGCCACCCAGCGGAGGTGCCACCTTTGCTGCTTGATGTGTAACGTCTGCACTTAACGGGGCCCAGATTTCTGTTAGGCCCAAGGCCAACGGGACGGGGACTCTGCTCTGGGCGGCACAGGTCAAGTATACGGAGGGAGGGCCCCCGGTTAGCGAACACTTCAACTTCCTGGCACTGTGACAGCATCGAAAGCAAGCCCTTGTCAAACCTACCGGAGCAGCCGATACGCTGCCCAACAGGAAGACACGGTGTCCGAAGCCAGCGCCGGGGCTTGGTTCTTGGATGGTCTGGGAGCCCAGCGTCGGTCCGCCTGCGGGAATCCGGGCAGCGGAACAGCATCACCACGGGACCGTTCTGAGAGCAGCTTCCCTGAACTGCAGCCTGGGAGTCTGGCCCAAAGTGCCCTTCCCTTCAGAGCGGTGGCTCTTCCCTCCCTTTTACGCACTCCCCCCTTAAACTGGGTGATAAAACGGGCGTTGATGCTGATTATTGTCAGGATAAACACTAAGCATGGAACCAGAAGTTTCTCTGTAATCTGCTATGAAGGAAAGTGACAGGTGAAAGAAATAAATGTGTACTACACTTTAAACATTTTAATTAAAGCCTTTATTCTATACAACCGTGAAATACAGATTTTTACCCTTTTGGCATTGCAGGCTGTCAAATTTTCTGGAAACTATTACTGGTTTGACTGGAAGGAAAAAAAAAGTAGAAGCATGCCGAGGGTCAGATGGATGACAGGAAGGGAGTGCAGCCGCCCCTCACGCCTCGGCACACAGGGCAAAACGGCCCAGCAAAACCCGTTCTGTGGCCCAAGGCCCCCTCCCGCAGACACAGCTGAGGGCTGGTAAATGAGCTGTGGGGATTTTTGGTGGTTGTGTTTCTGTCATTAATTCACAACTATTGCTAAAAAATGTGCACCAAAAGTGCACCGTTGTATCCAACAGATAGAAAGGACTTTAAAAAAAGAAGCCGGTGGCTCTGTGCGTGAGGGGGGAAAGACTCCTTGGGAACGTGGCACCTCTTTGCTGACTTCTTCAAAGTGCTGGAGGCAGTGACCTGTCCACTTTCCAAAGGAGCCTGACCGGCGGTGAGGGAGCCCTGTCTCTACAGTCGTGCAGGCAAGGGAATCTCAAATGGTCAGGTCTGGCCCCGGGCCCGTCAGCTGCCTCCAGCGGAGCCCGGGAAGAGGACAGGGAGGAAGAAAGACCTTCCCCGCCCTCCCCGGCCCCTGCTGCCGTGGGGACTGACCGCACACGAGAGGGGGAGGCGACCGGACCCGAATAAACTGCCCTCCGAAGGCACTTGTGCTTCTGGCTTCATACAGGAGGCTTGTCTTAAGTAGTTTTGTGGGGTGGACCATTGTTCTGTGCTGAATACAAATGACCTTGGGGAGGATCCAAAGTATTTCTTCTTGCCAAAAGTCGAAGTGTTTATCCCCAATAAGTTATATTCTGTACAAGACTCAAAGGATTCTAGGAAAGCTTTAGAAAGAACAGTGAAGAGAACTCTGGGTGCAGGCACCACACCACCGCCCTGCCTGTGAAACTCCGGAGGAACGAGCACGTGTGCTCCCAGGACAGAGTGTCCGGTCAGCTCACCAGGACACCAGGCGTTTTGGGTCGCGTGTAAATGAAGCTACCGTTCCATCACGGTCTTGGGCTTTGATGGCATCACGCTGTTCACCCAGAGCGAGAGCCTGTGGCGTCGCCTGGCTTTTGCCCATACACAAAACCGGGCACCGCGAGGAGGAGTGAAAGAGCCGCACCTCCCTGCGGCCCACGGCACCGCGGGGCACCGCGGGGCGCACTCCAGTCTGGCAGTCCGAGGGCTGCGGTCCGGCACCCGGAATCTCTACAGGTCTTCCTAAAAGAACGCATCTGAGATGCAGGGTTAAAACGAGCCCAAGGAGGAGAATTTATTTTGAAGTGGGCTGGCTCCTGAATTGTACAACAGCAAATTCCTATTAAAATAACTGTCGTAAGTGTGAGAACATTTGTTGTGTTTGTTTTTAATGACCAACCCGGAAAAAGCCTTCATAGGTGCTGCGTGGATGGAATGTACTCTCTTAGAAAAGCTACAGAGCGTGTGGATTTGAAGTTGAAACACAGTGACAGAGGTGGCTCTACCGATGTGTCTCTAACAAGTGCTAACAGACAAAGATAAGGTCCTTTGAAACAAAAGGAGGAAGCCGAGTCTGTGCTGGCCTGTCGTCCGTTCTCTGTACATCTTGCAAGACACAGTCCTCTTCGGGGGCGGGGGGGGTGGGGGTTGTCCTGCTCTCACTCTCTGCCTCCCTGGGGACAGCTTAATCTACACATGGAGACTGGTTTCTATATTACATCTCGATTAGTCGCTTCAACTGAAAGAGAATCTCGGTCCATACCAAATCGGCCGCTAGAAGTCTTGCTCCCATTGGGGCTCGGCGGGCTTCCTAGGACTACTCTCGGGGCCACGGAGGAAGGTCGGTAAATGCATACCCAGGAGCGCCTGCCTGCCCTTCACGTGGACTTCTGGCGGTAATGGAGGGTGAGGTCGCCCCCGCTCTTCCAGATGAAGTGCTTCACCGTCCGGAGGTCCATGTTTGGATCCAAAACCTGAACGGCAAAAAAACAGGTCATAAAAAATGTCAGAGCCTCTACTGCGTGATACCTAAGACCTTTATTGTGAACTCAGACTCTCAGCAGGCGACCCAGCTCGTCCCCACCTGCCGGCCTGCTCGTGCTGACACAGCCGCCGTGACGCGGACACAAACCGGGGCCCCGAGAGACGTGCAGCTCGTGCGGCTGGGCCAGAAATCCCAACTCCAGCCGTTCCTCTGAGGAAATGCCTCGAGTGCACCTTTACTTCAAACAGCTCCCCCGGGGCGCCACCCACCTCCGCTGCACGTCTCCACCCAGCACAGCAGGTGCTGCTCTGCGCACCGAGGCCAGCGGCTGTCCTTCTCTGGTCGGGGAAAGAAACAGCCACCGGCACATTCACATTTACCGTCTCTGTGTCCCTTTCCGGAGAACCTCCCCGGGGTAAACGGGAGCTTCAGGGTGGGCCGAAGAGCCCCTTCGGAAGGGGCGTCACCAGTAGGTGGGAGAGACCCAGCACTCCCTCCTCAGAGTCTCCTTAAAAGCAGAAGCACCCCCAAAGGCCACAGACATGGGAAGCGTAATCACACGACACCTGGCTTTCTGAGCATCAGCACTAGAGAGAATGGGGCCGCGGTCCTCGAGTGCACTTACCTGGTCCTGGCACAAAAGTTCGATTTTCTCCTCTGCCAGCACAGCAATATCCTCCTCTTTTTCCTGTTCCCCTGGCTTTTCGTTGTTAGAAGAGCTAGTGGTTTGCGACTCATTATCCAAGTTGATGATTTTCTCGTAAACGTGTTCCATTACCTTCCGGACTTGGAGCATGTCACTGGCGGAGAGTCTGTCTCTGCAAAAAAAAAAAA